CCGGCCGGGAGCTGCCTCGGCCCGGCCGGTCACCCGGATGCCTTTTCCCAGCAGTTTCCTCCGGAGCTACGCTGAGTTGGCTCCGCTGCAGCTCCCGAGAGTGAACGCTGTGATCGGTGATGGGCGCAGGGAGAAAGGCCTCCCCAGGAAGCCGACTGTCCTCAGAGCTCTCACAGCCCCTTCACCCCTAGCAAGTGTTGGGATCCAGGCCCGGAGGCTTCCAGGCCCTGCGGACCGTGAAACAAGTCGTCCGGTCATCAAACAGGTGATGTATCCACAGCAAGGCAGCCGATTTGCAAATATATTTTTAGTTAACGACGTAAACCCATCCTGTCCCACTGAAAATGGACAAAGTTCAATGTGTTTACAAGCAGCAAGACGACAGAAGTTAACTGGGAACTTCATGAAGAGAATTGCAAAACAGTACAAGGTGACAGGTACCCCTGCTCAGGCTGCCCTAAACAGCTGCAGTGAACCAGTTCTACTTCATAGGTTTGCTGAACTTTTCCTTGTTTTCCCATTTGGAGATGCTCCAATACTGCCCCTGAGAACCAGTACCAGTGCTCTAGGCCTTTTTATTTCAACACTATAAGGTGTGGCTGTAGTATTACTTCAGGGGTTGAGGAGATCCCTACCCTCACTGAGCTACCTGTGCCTTATCTTTTTCTTATCAATTCCTTTGTTGGAAGTATTATAATTGCAATTTGCATTTGCCTATCACTGCCTCTTAATGAACGCCTAATGGATGTCTGGCCTGAGGAGCAATAGTATCATGTTGGGGATACCTGGAATGAGAGAAATGGATGTCATAACAAATACTTCTACTCTGCTAAAGATGCAGAGATAAGTGGGTCAGTACAAACAAAGTTTACCTGTAGGTGAGATCAGCACAGTGATGACATGCCTGTTCTGCAGACACAGACTATTTCACATGTGTCTGTGCAATTTTAAACAGCATAATAAATCACACATTTCTTCACCATTTTTTAATCTAACCAGACAATTCTTAAACCTTTAATGGACCCATGATTGTAAAATCACTTCATCTGGGTTTTTGAGCAGTAATCCTCAAATTGTGGGTCTGTAAAAGCAATAATGAAATGTTTCATAAAATAATTTTTCCTCGGTGAGTCTATTATTGTAATTTAAAAAACATGTCTAGTCACCTCTATATTCTGCATTAACCCATTTTATGATAATTATGAGTAAATTACATCCCTCATTTCCATTAAATAACACCCTTGCATCTCACCAAAACAGTAGACTTTATTAGGCTGAAAGCAAAATGATGGATGCAGACTCTTTTTTTAACAGATTGTGTCTGTACCACTAACTTGTTAAAATAGAATCCACTCAGTTTGGAGTTATACTTTGATGTTCACCTAGGACTAACTTAAAATTTTGAGACCTGATTTTCAGTCACACACTTTTGTGTTCACATAAATATATGTATATATTAGAAAACTGTATATAAAGGTGCATATGTGTATGCTCCAGCATCTATTGACCATGGGGAATTAATTATCACAACATCCACTTTGAAAACATAACCAGCAGAACCCATCCTAAGTGCTCTACTTCAGGGTGATTTGCAGATTATTTTAAAATCACTTTAAAAGCCAAACTAAACCATTGCTCAAGCCAAGTGTCAAGCCTTCATATCCCATTTCAAAACCTGTAATACAGCTCTAGGAGTAGACATTATACATTATATAAGGTGGTTTTTTTTTACCAAGTGTAATCAAATGATACTACATTTTTTAAAAATATGCAGTAGAAAAATGAAAACATAGAATGATACAGCAATGTTGACAAAGATTATGGATTCTGTCAATATTAGTACTAAAAATATTAAAATAACTTGGAATCTTAGCCTGTCCATGTGTGTAATACCTGTCTCATTCTGATTACATGTCATTTTATTTATTCACATTTTATTTACAGTTCCCCCTGTAACCAGTTTTTTTAACTAGAAAAAGCTTATGATTCTGTTACGTGCCTCTCTGTCTATGGATTAATTTGGTTGAGATTTCTTTAGACTAAGACTATAATTTTAACAGTTCCACAAGTAATTTATATGCATTTATCTCCTTTTCAGCATATATCAGTTTCAGTGCATGTACAGATTTGTGCAAATCTGCAAGACTACAATCCCAAATAATCCCCATTGTTCTCTTTTGACAGCCAGCATTAAAGAAAAGTTGGGTAGAAAACATTAGGTGTGGTAAGACATTATTTGTCTCAGCCTCACACTGTTCATCTCTAGTTTTGTTGCATCACTGCACAGCACTATCTAGCTGCATTTAATAAGGTTTACATTTAGTGACAGCTACACTCTCCCTAAAAGAGAAGAAAATTCTCAAAGGTGCTTCGCTGCACCAACTTCAAGACTATTTCTGCCTTGATCCATTATAGATCATTACTAAACTTCACAGTGATCTGTTTTCCTTCCTCTTCTTTAGGAATTT